TGGCTCGTCCCGGTGCCCGGGGAGGGTGGGGAGCTGGGGTCCTGTGCTCCCATCGTGTGCCTTCCACCCTGAACCCATCCAGCCGTGGTGCAGGGTGAGAGCAGGGGACCTTCCACCCCGTCCCTGTGAGTGCTTCTCATCCTGGCCGAGTGGCTTTGATTTGATTTCTTTTAAAAAAATTAGTGATTTCAGGTCCCCTCATCCTGTGTAAATACTGGTCCTGCTCCCGCTCTCTCTTTGCTACATAAGATTTCTGGAGTTGCCTTTAAAAGAAAGCAGGTGTAGTCTGGGGGTGATTTCCCCCCCAAATTCTTACAAAGCAAAGACTAACCCAAAATGTTTTGCCTGTGGTTATCCAGGCAAGCGATGCTGTTACCCTGGGCTTGGAGGGTGAGCAGCACCTGACTGTCCTTACACAAACCCAAAAGCTCTTCTGCAACCTCTCGTCCTCTGCAGATGCTTTGGAGCCCCACAGGGGTGGGGGGTGACCCCTCCATGGGCTTCGCAGGGTGGGCAGACCGTGGGTTCTGCTCTGCCCTGCGTGGGTGCTGCTTGGCCTTCCAGGAAGGAGCTTGTGGTGCTGACTGCGTTGGGAGAGGCCGTGGGCAAAGTGCTGCCATGGGGATGGACATCTCAACAACACGGCGCCCAAAGATCCACCACTTTCCTCCTTTCTTGCATTTATTCTGCTCTCGCTGCTCTGCCCAGGCCCCGCTCACCCCTCTTCCCTCCCCATGCTCTTTCTTTTTTTCCCCCCTTATTTCCTCCCCTCCCTCTCTTCTCTGGAACCTTCCTGTAACGATTAAAAAAGAAGAATTTTTGAACTCCCTCCCAAAAGAACAAAAAGGGCCTCGGGGAGCCTGGGCGGCCGAGCCCATCACGTGGGGCCAGCCCTGGAGCCGGGGTCTCTCGAGCATCCTGCTTCTCCTCCAGCCCCTGGGGCTCAGCCCAGCTCCAGCTCCAACCCATCCACGCCCGGCAGTCCTTGCTCTTGGCTTCTTTGCTCTAAGGAGAAGATGGTGTCGGCAGCCACCGGCTCTGCCCGTTTGCTTGGAATTGATTTTTTT